CTCAAATAAATAAATAAAATCTTTAAAAAAAAAAAAAAAGACATCAGATGGTAAACATTATTCTGGTTCAAGGGCTCTTTTCACCATCAGAATATCTTGCTTGTTTCTCAGGATTTTGTTTTGAGGTTGAATTTTTTAATTCCCAAATACACCTTTAGTTTTGAGTTTCAATGAATTGAACATACCCACACTTAACACTGGTTAATTTTTGGAAAACTCCAACTCTTGGGTGAGATTTTTTTAGCATGGCTTTGTGAAGAATATAAAAAATAGAAAAGATAGAGAAAAATGTATTTCTTTAAAAATTAAAACTTAGTCAAGTGAGAAAAACTGTATCTCTAGATCTATGAGAACATGGTTAATGCCTTCCCAAAGACAAAACATTCATAAAATAATGTGATTGTTTCAAGGAAAGCATTCAGTATATTTCTAAATCAGCTAAACACCTCTCTTCATATTGTCATTGCTCAGAGGATATTTTCCAGGTGTTTCACATAGGGCCATCTATAAACAGTAAATCCAGTGCCTTGGCTTCAAAGCTAAATACAACAACATGGCATGAAATGGATGAAAGTTATAGCAGAAGGAAAGAGAATAAGAAGGGAGTGATGGAAAACAGGGCTTGGAGCATAGAAATTGTATAATTCTTACTATATTTAACTTAATGTTATCTACCCCAGAGAAACCTCATTCACAGAACACTCTTTAACCCACACACTTGAACTCAGTGAGCCAAAGGCTACCGACACTCCTAACCACAGCCCATTTTGCCAAGACGACACTCTTCTCAAGGAACGCATCCACCAGCTGGCTAGTGACCTATGATATCTGTAGCCTGGAAAGGCAAGGTAATTTGATCTATTCAGATTCTTCTCTTGGGAACCTCAACTGAGAGACACCATTTCCTGTTTACAATGGGGCAGAAAAAGTAATCATGTGGAATGTGATTGTCATATTTATGGCTGAACACCAAATGAATGACAGAGTCCTCTGAAAATTCCTTAAAATAAAACACTTCATCTCACTTAGCTTGAAAGCATCTCTGCTCTTTGTTACTAAAAAAGCATTAACCGCATATAAAACTGGTGAATCAGATTAAGATCTTTGGATGTACCAATGTCACTTTCCTGGTTTTAATATCATATCACAGTTATGCAAAATGTTACCATGGGGGAAACTGGGTGAAGGACACAGAGGACCTCTCTGTACTGTTTTTTTTTCCCCCAACTTCCTGTGAATCTCTATTTATTTTAAAATAAAAAGTTTTTTTTTTAAACGAGTATTAAATTAAAAAAAAAAAAAAAAACCACTTGCCTATTTGTATTAGTTTCCTAGCACTGCGATGACAAAGTCCCACAAACTGGGTAGCTTAAAACAAAGATTTATTGTCCCTCAGTTCTGGAGGCTCAAAGTCCAAAATCAAGGTGTCCACAAAGCCATGATTCCATGAAACCTGTAAGGAAACTATTCCTTGCCCCTTCTAGCTTCTGGTGGCTTGTTGGCAATCTTTGGTTCTCCTTGCCTATCATGCCTCACCCCAGTCCTCCGCTGTCACATGGCATTCTTCCTGGGTGTACCTGTCTTCACATAGTCATCTTCTTATAAGGACGTCATACTAGATTAGGGGCCCACCCTACTCCATTATGACCTCAGCTTTACTAAGTACATCATCTGCAACAATCCTATTCACAAATAAGGTCACATTCTGAGGTACTGGGGTTTAGGACTTCAAAATATTATGTTTGGGGGAAGGCACAATTCAACCTATAATACTATCCCTTCAAAGATCTAATTCGAGAGCTTACTATTTTTCACAATTGAAAGCTTTTCCACTTATTCATTAAAAAAAATCTTTGGAGGCATCTGGATGGCTCAGTTGGTAGTGTCTGCCTTAGGCTAGGGTCATGATCTCAGGGTCCTGGGATGGAGCCCAGCGTCAGGCTTTCTGCTCAGTGGGGAGTCTGTTTCTCCCTCTCCCTCTAGGCTCTCTCTCTCTCTCTCTCAGTTGCTCTCTCTCAAGTAAATAAATAAAATCTTTAAAAAATAAATCTTTTACCTCCAAATGTATCAGTCATTATGTTAGTTGCTGTGAACACAGAAATTACTAGTATAAAGTTGGGTTTTTTATCTTTCTTCTATACACATCAAAAACAAAGGCTTCTGACATATTCCTTGAGGAATTTTTGAGGTCAATCTTCATAGTCCAACTATGAGTGCTCATACGTGTTCAACAAATGTCAGTCTATTATAATTCTCTGCAGCACATTTATATCTGGTGATTTCTTGCTCATTTGCTAATTTATTTGCTAGATCCTGCTCTACCACTAAAATGTAAGCTTTTTGAGGATAATGTCCTTACCTGTTTTTATTCCTCCAATATATCCCTATAAACTAGAAAAGTTCTCAACCTAGTAGGCACTCAATTATTTGTTTAAAAAATTAATATGCAACAAAACAACATTCATTTAGCATCTGTATGTCAGACTACCTATATAATCCCTTTCTATCCACATATGACAACCTTACCAGGTAGATGCTGGAGCTCTAATGCACACTTCAAATTAAGGCTTCAAGAAATTTTGACATAACCATCCTGACACACAAGTGTGAGAAGAAGGAGTCAAATGAGGCATGATGACAACTTCAAACCAATTATAGCCCAATTCTGCAACTGCAGTTATTCTTATGCTCCTACATCCCATTGAAAATGCTCAGCGTCCTGTATTTGGGAAATCATCCCAGTTAATGTTCCGGAAATACATTTCATTTTAGTGTCTAGAGATAAAATCCAAACCAGATAGAATTTCCATGCTTGAAATAGAAATAGTTGGAGAGATGTTTGGATTTAAATATAAAATACATTTGGCTTTCATCTAATCATAGAATCAGAAGATTGAATAAAACCTCTAGTGGCCAATAACAACAAGCCACCATAATTCAAGTATTCCAAATATGAAGGGTGTTTGAAATCAAAGGCTAATTTCATTTATAATGTGTGTAATTGATCCAAGAAATGACAATTCAAAATCTAAACATTAAAGTAAGAATAACTCAAGCCACTTGAAAAAACTTTCAATATGATTCAAACTTTTAATTTTCACAGAAGTTATTTCATAAAAACGATTTTCATGTAAGGCTTTATTTTTATTAAACTGAATGTTTCTTCCTAGGAAGAATCAAAAACCATATTTCTTCAATTTTATTTTTGAAGTAATATCTTCTGACTTGCTATATTACTAGAAGTAATTCATACATATATGTATATTGCTATACAGTCATATATATATCTTCATATAACAATATATGCATACATGATAGTTTTTTATACCTAACCAAATTTGAGACCAATAAAAATATCATGTCATGACAGAAATCATGTCATGATAGAAATGGAATAGAAATAACTTGGTAAGAAAGAAGGAATTAATATTATATATAATTAATGTTTATATATATATATATAATTCCAGGTAGTCGCTGTGTTAAACTTCAGTGTTTTACAATATTAATTCTTTTAAACTGACTCCTGTCATCAGCCTTGATTCTTAGGGGTTGCTAACATTTTGAAAATAACCCATCATTTGTACTTAATTATAAATTACTTTTTTTTTCAAAGATACAGCCCCACCTTTTTATTTGTCTTTCAATTATTGATCCACTAGAGTATCTATATAATGACAGTGTGGGGTATTTTTCATACACAGAATCCAAATTTAAAGCTAGAAAGAATCTAGAGACTTATCCCATAGTCATCTGATAGGCAGTATTACTAAGGCAACAGCAGATAGTGACCTACCCAATATCACACGGAACTCTGGTAGGAAATCTATGATATAAAGCAAACTTGTTGCAAATACACCCCAAGATCTGCAGGCTAAGTGAGGGTTATGCATAGCATGAAGCAATAGAAACGTAACAACTGGGGAACATCTAGAGTTTCCCTAAACTGTGGTCAACTGGCAAACAAAGTGTGCAGGGCTGAGCTTCAGAAAGAAGGTGATCATAAACAAATGCAATTTGTGGAAGAAATAAGCTAAGAAAGGGGATATATGAAGTTTGAGGGCACAAAAAGCAAAACAAACAACAACAAAAAATAAAAGTCTCCCAGCAGAAGGGAAACAGAAAAAAACTGAAGATACAGGAGGACATCACTAAAAACACTTTCCTTGAGCAAGAAACCCCAAACCTAATTTCTATGATAATTCCAGATAAGAGTACCAGTCTATGCTCATCGTTTTACATTTTGAAAACAAATCCAGTTTTGAAGATAATTTTTTACTTACCAAACCTGCTATTGGTGTGGATAATCTATTGATCTTCTTAATGACGCCAGGTTTAAGTTTATTAACCAAACTGAAAGTAAATAAAGAAATAACATATGCAATTACAAGAATGCCAGTATCAGTTTCGTATTCTTTTTAACATTTTCAAAAATCTTGTATATCATTAGTCTATCCCCCATATGTGATTCAGAGCCAAGAGCCCGATAAAAGGCAAACAACCAAGAAAACAAATCAAGAAACGAAGTAAGAAGAACCTCACTGCAAACAATGGTGAGTATCCTCTCAGACCATATAGACACACTGCTATACTCAAAGCCATGTCCCTAAAAATAGTTCCACATTTGTTAAAGGTAGTATTTGATTCTGTTCCAAGAGCCAGTTTAAGAATCTCTTTCGTTACAATAATCTAGTTCTCTTGGACCTAAGAATAATTTTTTCTATTAATCATTTTTATTAATTTTTTTCCTCAAACTGTTTTTTATTTTAAAAGGTAATTTCAAACCACATTATTTTTCCAGATTTGTTTACTGAAGTATAGTTGACACATAATATATTAGTTTTAGGTGTACAACATAGTGGTTAGACATTTATATACATTATGAAATGATCACTATTATAAGTCTAGTTACCATCTGTCATCATACAAAGTAATTATATTATTGATATATTCCCTATAACTATATAATATATATGTCTATATTCCCTATATTCCCTTTATATCTCCATGACTTATTTATTTTATTATCAGAGTGTATACCTCTTAATCCCACTTCACCCATTCTCCCTACCCCCGCCCCTCTGGCAACTATCAGTTTGTTCTCTGTATTTATGAGTCTATTTCTGTTTGTTTTGTGTTTTAGATTCTACATGTAAATGAAATCATACAGTATTTGTCTTTCTCTGTCTGACTTATTTCACTTAGCATAATATTCCCTAGATCTATCCATGGGTACAAAATACAACTGTATTTTGCCAGATTTAAAGGGTACAGTGGAACTCATCCTAATGGCCAGCTAGTTCTTACTGGTAACTCATTAAAATATGTGAGTGATTGCTTTGTTACCATAACAGAATGCCTGGATAAAAATTAAATGTACCAGAACTCCCCAAAATGAACTAACAGTTACTTCAGAATCTAATACTGAACACATTAAAGTTGCTATGACAGAATCTGCAAAGATATCCATAAGTCTCTACATTCCAGAACACGAGGAAAGAAGCCACCTTTGAAGGCTGTAACTTAGAGTACAATTCTTGGTTCTAAATCTAGTTATTGTGAACTCTATGTTTTTTGTTGCTGTTCAATGATACAGTCTAAGCCTTGGAGACATTTAATACTATAGTAATGCTTTTCTACTAATGCTAGCTTGGTTAATTAATCATTAGTCACTGTCAGAAAACAGTAATTTAAAACATGATTTTCCTATTCAATAATCTAGCTACAAAAAGCAATTCTTTATTCTGTAAACAGAGCTCCAAAAAGAAAGCAAATATAGGAGAAAGAATCAAACATTCTTAATTTACTGGTCTCCTCTTCACAATGGGCAACAGAAAAAAAAAAAAAATCTGACACTTGTGGAATGTCACTCCTTCAACATTCCAGAGATTTATATATACACTTGAATGTGCTAAAAATAAAGAAGACAAAAGTCTCAATTTAATAACCTTCAGAATGTTGTTCAGCAGGATTCAAAATTACACAATGATGGCTTACGAAGGTTTAGTCTGGTGAACAAAAGATGTTTTTTCTGTTTTCATAGTTTCTTCACACAAAGATCTTCAGACAACTTAATATAAATAAAATTGCCCCCTCAATTAAGCATTTCCTAGGACTGTTACCCTCTGATTCCTAATTTCTTGTTTGTGCACTGAAAGCCAGGTAGGAAGGAAGGCTTTCTCCCTTCATAGCTGAATTATTTTTCTTTAATGGCTCGCCGAGAAGCTAGAAAAAAATTTGAGGAGGCTTCTAAGAAATGACAGTTCCAAATTAATTCTTCTAGTTGTTCCCTATTTACCAGGTATGCAATGTATAGAAGCACTAATAACTGGAACATTACTTAATAGCAACATTATTCTGGCATAGTATAAATCAAGAAATTCATAGAGTTGTTGACCACTAGCTTGGCAGTGACTTTCCTATGGTAACTTGGATCTTAAAATGTAATCTTTCAGGATGCCTGGGTGGCTCAGTCGGTTAAGCAGGTTAAGTGTTTGCCTTTGGCTCAAGTCAGGATCCCAGCCAGGCGCCCTGCTCAAATGACTCAAATAAATAAATAAAATCTTTAAAAAAAAAATGTAATCTTTCAGTGACATAAAAATTAGAGACTAAAAAGAGTTGGGCCAAATTATCAAATGTCAGGAAAGTCTGGCATCGGTTGTCTTTATTGGAGGAAGAGTGTTATAAATTCCTCCCCCGCCCATTTGAGTCACTGATGACTTTGGCCAGATCATTCAATTTACCTGTTTAACTTCACTTACCCTTTTTATATTACAGTGTTAGCAATACCAAGAGCATTTTTTAAAAACACTTTCTGGAATGGATAATAACACAGCCTACACTCAATCGAGGCAGCAAAAGGAAGGGATTGAAGGAAGTAAAGGAACCAGCACAGATAAATGATGTCTCCCAAAAATGAGTTGCTTCCTCCCTCATCAGAAGTTTCCACAGATGTTAGTTACATAGAAGCAACATACACACTGTGGACTGGCTTCCTTTTCTCCTCCGGAGCCTCCTAGTACGCGTACAAACACAGAAATAACCACAAGGCAAAAACAACACTGTGCCTAACACACAAACTACCCTGTAAAAGTTGTACACTAGAGGAAAACGCTGTTTTACTTTATCAAATGTTAAAATGGTACCAGTTCTAAGCACTAGAGCATGGAGAAAATGCACATATGGTTTTGGCAACTAGTGAACATCCAATCAAATTAAGAATCACAAATAATGATTTTCACATACAATTAAAGGAAAACCTTTTAGGGTATTTCTTCTAGGGAGGAAAATACCCTACATTTCATAATTTCAAATTAGATTCCATAAAATTGAAACTTCTGTGAAATTTAAGGATATCTTAAAAAAGTAGGGGCATAGTCTTATACCAAATAAAATACAAGTGCCACACAAGGGAGATACTACTATCTTTTATAAATAGAACTTCTTTGCATAATAAGGGTTCTTCAATTACACATGTGGAATTTTTAAAGGCAACACTCACTTGAGGTCACTGGCTCTATTTGAGAATCATATAACATGATAACCTTCCAGTTGCCTCTGTACACAAGGAAGTAGAGGCAGTCAAGGGACCATTTTATCTGCCTGCAAGCCCACCATTCCTCTAATCCTAAGTATAATTATACCTCAACTCCCCCAAGCCTTCCCTCAAGCCATGGCATAAACCTAGTTATGTGCTTTGCTAGCACATCAGAGGTTTGCTCTTTTGGTAAGATTAAAATCAGAAGAGAAAACACCTAGTCATTTGCTATCTCCGGTGGTAGACCACACTGGCAAAAGCCTGCAACCCCTCTCCTTCAGCTCATGCCTGCATTGTTGCCTGCTTCCTTTTCTTCTTCTCTCCAAAACACCCTGCCCACTTCCTCCAACGGGAGCTGAGTTACATAACAGATGCTCGAAGGCTGCCTCTGTTCTGAAACCTCGTCACCAGTGTATGTGTCCTGACTTTAAATATAACTCAGAGGTGACACTCCAAGAAAACTGTACATAAAGTTCAGTGTAACATCTAGATCAGTTATAAATGGTTTCAATGAGAACTAGAATTTGGTGCTCTCTTAGTCTCCAGAAACTAGCTCCAAATGCCAAGCCTCATCTCCCCTTTATCAGAAAGCTCTTCAGCAGGGACACCTTTCAATTTCCTATTTCCGAAGATTTTTTCCAAATGTCCTAGAGACACTGACCTCAAAGAGCATATCAATACATTGAGAGTGAACTTTCTAACCTATGAATTATTTGGTCAGTCAGTCACACATGCATATTTCTATTATCTTTCTGCTGACTACATTTTCTAAATATATATCCCCACATTAGTCAAATTTTCTTTTCTTTTTTTTTTT